GTAAGTGTCTGAAAACGATACCATGAGTTAATCCAGGATTTATGAGTGATAAAAAAATTCAAGGTAAAAGCAGTGTTTGTGTGTGTGTGTGTGTGTGCAATAGTAGTAAGTTCAGCTGTGTCCACTTCTTTGTTTATGTTAGTGCATCCACTGATTCTGCATTTGGTGGCTTTGAGGTCACTTTCTAGGTCATTTAATTTACTAAAGTGACACCTAGTGCAAAACTTACTTTGGTATCTGTTAGGGTTAACCTAGCACATATTGGGGTCACCACAGATCAACTCTTTTTAGATCAAGATTAGATATTAAATTCGATTCAAACCTCTAGTATTTCCTGTGCAAATAGATATTATTGTGCTAGTCACTAAAATGATGAAGAATACATTTTTTAGATTTCGATTTTCATCTTATTTGAATTTTAACAACAAAGATGTTGTAGTTAGCCGTATTAAAAGCCATATATATTTACTTAAAACTTAATACTCCCATCTCTGAAATCTGTTCTTCTCGCAGAGCGTTCAATATATTCGCATAAAGCATCTCACTGAAATTTCCAAGTCAATAAATGGACACTCCAATTGAAAGACAAAGTATGGTTTCTAAGCCATTCTGGATAATGATTTTTTGTAAGATTGCGTCTCATCTCAGCCTCTGTGAGATGTTTCATACTGCCGTGAAATTCAACAAACGTTCTTCATGAGCATGTGTAACGTTCCGTAACTTTTCACATTCGTGCGTAGGAAAAAATATCCGGTTTTTCTTGTTGGATATGCTTTTCTTTTCAACAAAACTCGGCCATTTATTTATAAATTGGTATATATCCAGAAAAGCAGAGAAAATCAACCCTGCATTTTCCTCTTTTCCTATTTTTCCTGGGGCTGCTTGAATCTTCCGTGCTTGCATATAAAAAAAAACCATCATACTTTTGTTAAATCAGAAAAAAGAAGGATAAATTGGAAAATTGATTCAAAATGAATTTGGTTTCCGAACAAAAGAGGATTGTGGAAGAGATTCATATAAACAGACAGGTTAGGAAAAAAGCGGAAAATAAAATAAACGAGGTGTTTGGAATAACAGCGGGTGAGTTGGGAAACAAGGCACGATGGAGTAATGGATAGCAATTCAGATTGAGGAATCGGAGAGCTGAGTTCGAATCCTAGTCGAATCGATTACATTCACTTACGTGCTAATACCCTTGGAAAAGGTATGAATGCTCTGCTTCTCTCCCCAGCCATGGGTAAATAGCAGGACAGAACGGGTTCTTGGATGGCAACTGGTCTACCACAGAAAGAAATGGCAACCTATTACGGGAAAATAATCTGCATCATCAGTCATGTATCGAAAGATGCATGATTGCCTAAGCGTCTATCACGCATAGCACATAACTGATGCAAATTGGAAAAATCAATTTTTTTATAGTCGAGCAGACCCGTTTATTATGGATGCGAGAGTTATGAAGCGAAGGAACAATTATTATTAATTTATATATTTAAAAAAACACTCATCAGAGCCCCCAAATAAAATAATCTTAAAACTTTCGCTAAAATGATTTCAGGAAAATATCAGTAACCTGCCTTAATTAAATAATGTTATCGTATCTTCATTAACTGAATCGCAAGAGACCATTCCAAGAATACTCGGAAGGGACGAAAATCCTGAGTGAAAACTGAATTCAAGAAACAAACAGAAGACGGAAGCTAAATTACTAAAAGTAAAAACAAACTCATTCTTTGAGAAACCAAAATTCCCGGAAAATTGGAAATAAAATTAATAAAGCCAAGAATTACAGACAATGTGTTAAAATGTTGAGAAAAACAAAAACTTTCAATAATATCAACTAATCAAAACCACCACATAAGAAATATCCTGGTTTACAAAAAAAAAAAAAAAAAAAAAAACGTTTCACATTTCAACATTACCCACACTCAATTAAAGATACTCGTAGACATAAAACACGACAATATTCATCCAATCATTATGAAGTCTGTCTCCAAACTTAAACAATAATGAACCTAGTAATGAGGAAATTAAGAATGTTATTTAAACAAATAAAGAATAATAAAATCACTTGACGTTGAGTTTGAACTTTTGTAATTAGCTTATTTTCTCCCAGAATTCAATAACAAGTTCCTCTATTTCATGAAAGAATTCAGAAATCAGATATGTAACCCAAAAATGTAGGGTTTATCAGGAATTAATGCAATGTGGAAACAAAAAAGGTAACCCTTAAGACCCTCACACATACAGAGGTATCTCAGTTAGACCCATCCTAGTAAAGTATTAATCAACATTGTATTAACGAGACTCTCGTCTTTTTATGAAATACAATTCTTCACAATCCAGTTTGATTTTAGATTTTGTAAGAGATGTAAAGATGGCATATATATATATATATATATATATATATATATATATATATATATATATAATCAAACAACTCCACAAAATGGCTTATCTCTCTAATAGGAAATTGTATGCCTGCTGTGACAAACTCACAGCAATATATGACCACATCAATGCAGAACTCCTCTTCTGATACATTAGAAATCGCCTTCCAATCTACAAATGAACCAATCTAATAGAGATGCTGTATCAGTTTACGAATTCTTACATGTCTAGCGGGGACCCCAATACAGAAACATTTTACACCTCATCAGGAGTAGATGACAGCCCTGATATATTTAATCACTTCTTAGACTATGTCCTGTTCATTTACAAACACAGACGTGAAGAGATGGACACTGATCATTTAGGCATTCCATGCCAAATCCCAAACGAATCTACCAATAGAAGACAACAATTCTGTTTTCCCTCCCTAGATCAATGTACTGATGATGAGGGAACGGATCGATGACGATGACATAGGTATTCATAGTTGGTATAAGAATGATTATGAACAGAAAATCCACATCCTCTGCTAAGTGTTTCAAAAAATAGGCCTCAAACCTTTCCAAGACAGAAAAATTATTTGAAATTAAAATGAAAGCAATAATGGAAGTTAACCTGATTCCATCACAAAAATTCAGGATGTGAAATTAGTAAATACTAAACACATCAAAGAGCTCGGTGTATCAATCCGTTATGATAAATTTAATATAGGAGATGAGGAAATCGAATATAGAATAGGCACTGTAGTTTCGTCCAATAACGGAAATTGTTAAAAACCAAAACATTAACCTCAAAACCCGAGTCATGTTCTTTTTCTCGTCAGATACAGGCCTTCGTCTTACTTCGTAAATGCATTGTTTACTTTCCAGCCACGAGGGTGGGTGGAAATGTTCATAGGATGTTCATTTGAAGGAGTGATGCTAGATCTGTGAAATCTTACAAGCATTAATCTCAACCCTTCTCAATAACTGCATTGTTTCTTTTCTGTTAAACTGTTATAACCACGATTAGGGTAATAATTCGAATAAATCGAAAACATCAAAATAAATATTTATATCAGCTTGGCTACAGTAACTAACGGGAGGTAGTCATAGTGAAGGGGGATTTACTCTAGTTGTGAATGAAGTTCGTCTTCTCATTTTGATGGCATAAATATAAAATTGGATCAAAATTATGCTAATAAGGTTTTAGAATACAGATTTATTGATACGTGGTTATACTCTGTATTCCTTCTCTTAGATTCGTTGGCAATCAAGGCTAGGGAACCAAGTGTACCCTGCTATTTTATTCTTAACTGGAAATACAATAATTATACACTGTAAACCCCGGGTCAAATATCAGCTAATAATTACGTATCAGACTACGAACTTACTCATCCCGCCATTTTATACTGTCTAAGTAAATCATAGAATTTAAAGAAATACGTGCGATTTTTGGATGAACAACGTAAATAATATATGTCTATATTCCTGTCTCTGCAGATTGTATTTTATGCAAGCACTTTTAATTCTCACGTCTCATTAAGTTTGAAGGGTGTGAATTAGATTTGTAAAAAGTTACTTTGCTAGAAATTAGGTGTGTGCATTTTACAAAATATCTTTATATGAAGGAATAATGTTTCTCAATGTATGTACTTGTAATGGTAGAAAAATGTCCATGCGTAGATATCAGTGTATACTATTATATGCACATTATATAAATAAATACACACACACACATATATATACATAAATACACATATATATATACACACACACACACACACACATATATATATATATATATATATATATATATATATATATATATATATATATATATACATATGCACAAACCATGAATATATATATATATATATATATATATATATATATATATATATATATATATATATATATATGCTTGTTTGTGTGTGTGTATATATATTTGCCTGTGTGTGTATTTGCTTGTGTTTATATATTTGCCTCTGTGTGTATATATTTGCCTGTGTGCGTTTGCTTCTATGTGTGTGTATATTTGCCTATGCGTGTGTGTACTGTGTGTCCTCTTCAAAACTAATGTAATTTTGTTAAGCAATTCGGAGCTTTCAGAAAAATGTGAACATGATGTTCTTAATGCTGCGTACAAAACTGAATTACTCGCAGGATCTTAAAAGCATATATCCACTGATTTACTACGCCATTAGAATGAACGGTATCGGATTTTCGCCTTTACATTCACAACTATTCTCAGGATGTGTCAAAAGTAAATAGACACCTCGATTTTGGATGCAAACGTCTTTATCAGTGCGCTAAATAATTCTATTTAATTATGCAAATAGAATTTAGAAGGTTAGCCAGGAACAGATGTTAAAGGATACGCTCATTCAGATAACGAATTTACTTCCTTGTCGATTATCTGGCGAATTCAAAATTGAAAACATTAAGCCAACTTTCAACATATGTGTCCTTATTTCACTCTCTACACGAAACGTTACCCAATTATTCAGGGTATCTGCCTATGAAAAATACCCGCATATGTAGTTTTCACAGTTTCTATAGAAGAAATCTCTTTAAGGACATTAGATAAAGATTCATATTAACGATTTTATACGATGAGGAAGAGCAACGTTTTCAAATTCCCTTAACCTTATTTTTGTTCTTATTCACATAGACAGGAACAGACTTAGATATGAAAAGGTTGATAGGTTGATAGATATGAAAAGTCTGAGATAATAGATAGATAGATAGATAGATAGATAGATATGAATGTGAACAGACTGATATAGATGAATATGAACAGACTGAGATAGATAGATAGATAGATAAATGAATGTGAACAGACTGAGATAGATAGATGAATTTATAAACATGATAGATAGATGAATAGATAGATAGATAGATAGATATAGATGAATGTAGACAAACTGGATAGATAGATAGATGATATGAATGATATGAACAAACTGAGATAGATAGATAGATAGATAGATAGATGAATTTGAACAATGTTGAGATAGATATGAACAGACTGGAATAGATAGATAAATAGATAGATGAATGAAATAGATAGATATGATGAATGAACAGATGAATGAATAGATAAATAATATGAACAAACTTGGATAATGAATGAATATCAACAGAATAGATAGATGAAGATATATGAATGGGCGAATAGATAGATGAATGATTTTGTATAGAATTAGATGATAGATAGATGAGATAAAACAAACTTAGATAGATATGATAAATAGATGAATAGATGGATGAATAATGGATAGATAGATAGATATGAACAAACATGAATAGATAGATAGATAAATAAAACAAACATAGATAGATAGATAGATAGATAGATATGAACAAACATAGATAGATAGATGATAGATGAGATAATAGATAGATAATAGATGAAAATATATAGAAGAAACACAGATAGATAGATTGAACAAACATAAATAGATACATAGATAGATGAATAGATGGATAGATGTGAACAAAATAGATAGATTCCTAGATAATAGTTTAGATATCAAACAAACATAGATAGATAATGGATATCTTAAACATATATATATTCCTTGAACAAACATAAATTCATAATTTAAATATAACGTCAATGAAAATATTCTGACTTCGTCCGTTATTGAGATAAAATATTATTTTCCCAAGTTTATTTAACAAGGAACAGTCAATCATTAAATTTCTAAAATTATAAATTCGTTGTGTTAAATATCCAGACCAAGTCTTCATTATATTTCCTAGTTTGATGAGAATGCTAATTCTATAGGACCACTTCTTCATTTCTCCTCAAAAAATCCATCAGTACAAAATGCCAGTTGAAATTCATAAAATGAAATATTAAAACATATATTTTCCTGGAAAATAGGTTTTTAAACCCGGTTATCGCTGTTTCCATATATTGATGGGTTTTCTTCCGGGTATCTTTTGCTTCCATAGTGTGGAACGTCAACATAATGAGTATGTCATTCCACCTTAGTTGTTGCTATTGTCCTAAAATGACATTGGTATCATCAATTTCCATTTCAGTTCTTCCGCCAATTTTAAGGTTCAAGAAGGATTGTTTCGGAAAGTCTTCATTACACGAATCCATATTTCCCATTGATCTGAAAAAGACTTATATACAGTTGACAGTTCGAAATGAGTTGTTTATCAATAAATAATTAGCTGTTTTTATATAAGAAAATATTTATTTCTTGATTGATCTTCAATCTCAATTTACCATAAGTTTTTTTCAATGACTCTATTAAAACAATTTTACAAAATTAAAATATCATGGATCAAGTCCAGTAAAAAGCCTGTTATGAGCTCTTTCCAAAAAATAATTTCCTTCCTAATCCACAAAGCTTTCCAAAACTGTGTGGAACATCAACATTTTGAGTATGTCGTTATTTTCAATTCATCATTATATGATATATACATTTTATTTGTTTTCTGTTGTTGAAAAGCTTATAAGTGATGTTTCCCTTATAATCAAAATTACCTAGAAATATTTATCCCATTCTGTATCAAAAGATATGTCCTTGTAAAATCACCATTATTTATTTAATCCATTTGTATCATTGATCTTTCAAAATCATCCAAATACAACTTTCCAATATTTGTATATTTCTGAATCCATCTAGGAAATTACTTTTCAACCACAATTTAAATAATAACTCAAATTTTGTATATATATGTTATTTTGGTTTTGGACAAAGACCGAAATTGTTTTAAAATATTTTTATGTTTAAAAATATTCTTTTTATAGATAAAAATCTCTTAGACATATTGGCAATAAGTCTGTGAAATTTTTAAACCTGACCATCCGAACAAAATGATAATATATATGAAATTTTGAATCAAAAAGGAATCAAATATAAACATATACCAGGATCTGTTAATATTCAGAAATATGTTACCGGAAAATCCCAAACGTTATCGTTCGATTGAAACGTTATATTTTACCATTTTAAATATGGTGTAATATGGATATACTATCATATATATATTCATATAGGCTCGTTATATATCCAAATAAGAACAAATAAACGTCACCATTATTTATAATTCAACTCTTTTAAATTACTTTTAAAACAGAAAAAATAAATATTTTCAGATATTTTTATAGATACAAATATTTATAAATTCATGTCCATTGTTTATATAAATGTGTATTTATAACATCTATATCCCTATATATATATGATTGTCATGTAAAATATATTAATCCTTTATTTTTCTTGTAATAATCCAACAAAGAAATTCTAAAAATGAATTTTCAAAAAAAAATTCCGATAGATGTAGTTTCGAATAATATAGAAATTTTCATTTTCAATATATGTCTGAAAAATTTTTTTAAAACGAATTCTTGACATCTAATTTTCCTGTTATAATCTAATTAATCTGCATTAATCAATGGGAATTAATTTTAAAACATATTTATAGATAAATTTGGTAATTTTCTTTTTCTGAAGAAATACAGTAAATTTAAAAAATTTATAAATTTAATTTTATAAATAAAAAAAAAAATGGACTTTAGAATATTTTGAAAAAACGAATATATATGTTTCATCCAATAAATCGTTCATATTTATAAATATATATAAACCATATTTTGAGATCAATCAAATAAATGATTTAATATAAATAAAACTTTAGAATTATGAATGTTTCGTTAGAACGTCTGTGATTTTTTAAAATCTATTGAAGGCAATGCAAATATATATGAGTAATTGTTTAATATAAATTTATTTTTGTCAATGTTGATAATATATATATATCAATATATATATATATATATATGTATATATAAGATATATATATATATATAAATATATATATAAATATATCAATATGTAATATATATATATATAATATATAAATATATATATTGCATATATATTACTGATAAATTTTCAATTGGTTCGCATGGCATGTTGAATATATATATGGCGTATTTAAATATATAAAGTCTTATATATACATATATATATATTTAAATTCACCATAATAATATTCCCCAAATTAAATGTTTATTGAACTTTAAAAACCTTTCACCAAGATATATCTTTATTTTAAAATATTGTACAAATCTCTCTCGTTTTATTATATATGACCTTTGCATATATAATATATATATATATATATATATATATATTTTATATATTTATATCATATAAAATATATTGAATATAATCATATATAGGTACAAAATGTTGTGGTTTCAATAAGGCATCATGCATGATTTTCATTTTTGATATTATATATAATTTATTTAAATTTATATTTATATTTAACTACAAATTATATATATATATCGTTTTATTTATATGTATATAATAATTATAAATATTTTTATTCTCTATCTTTCTTAAATACGCTTTTAGTACTTTCGACTTTACATTTATCAATAAAAAGCATAAATCATATATTTTTAGCAAAATCCGGAATATATATAAAAATTTAAAACCTTATGAACAATCTAAAATATATATATATTGTATTCGTTAATAATAACACATTAAAAATAAAGTCTATTTCGATATATATAAAATTTTAGTAATCTAAAATTTTTTTTCAAATATATATAAAATATATATTAAAATATTTATATTTATATATATTAAATATATAAATAAATATTATATATATATTTATATATAACAAAAGATATATAATCGGTGTTTTTATAGATATTTTTATTTATATATATATATATATATATATATATATATATATATATATATATATATATAAATTAATTGATTTAAAATATATATTTTTTATTACACAGTTCTAACCATGTTTCAAAATGGAAGCTAAAAAACTAAAAATTTAATTTTGTAATTAAATTAAAGACATTAGATTCCATTTCATCCTCAAGCGAATTTTGGAGTAACTTTAAAATTACTGGGTTTTAAAGACACAGCAAAAATCATAATTCACGTTTCCAAGGTTACAGATAAATCCATTTCAACTAGACAAGGGGTGTTGCGTGTTCATTATGTCTGTATTTTGATGTATCAGTTATTAGTTACGTTTTGGTAGGGGTAGGGATGTATTTTTCAATGAAATCTGACATCCGTTAAATGCATGTCGTCTGGATTTTTTTTTTTTTTATTGTTAACGGCAAAAATTCTTACGGCATTTTTTTCTATTTGTATATTTAAAAATTTTTTTGGGGGGTGTTTAGGTTAGAATACGTTTTATTTAACTACAATTTGAAAAATTATTTTTACTTTTAATTTTTAATATACTATATTTCTTTTTAAGAACAATTAAATGTATTAAATCCCTTATTATGTAGAATTATTTTCACATCAAGTATAAGTATGTATATTATTAGGTTTTTTATTTTTTTTTATTTTTTTTTTTTAAATTTAAAATTTATGACAATGACAAAAATAGTTAATTAATTTCACTGATTTAGTAAACTTTATTTTTTTTTTATATATAAACCTAGTAATATATTGTTTCTCATGTAAGTACAAAGGACATGGGTCATTCAATGGCTTACATCTTCTAGCATTTCATATTAAATTCATTTTACTGTAGGTGTTTTTATTGGATTCCTTTAAGTGCCGGTAGTACTTTTTGAGAGATCTTTAGGTTAGAATACGTTTTATTTAACTACAATTTTAAAAGATGTTTAGGTTAGAATTCGTTTTTAACTAAAATTTTAAATACAACTTTAAAATATTTTCACTGTTAGTTTTAATAGACTATATTTTTTTTTAAAAAACCAGTAAATGTATTAGAATTACTTACAGTATATAAAATTATTTTTTACATATTAAATATAAGTATGTATATTACGATTGTTAAAAAAAATTTTATATTTAAATATTATTTAAGGAAATTTTTTGACAATTACGGTAAAAAATAGCTATTTCATTTCTCTGATTTAGTAAATTTTATTTTTATATAAATTTATAATATATATATTCTTTTAAATGCAAAAAAGGACATGGGTCATTTAATGGTTCCATGTTCTAGCTTTTTCATCAAAGCCCATTTTTTTACTGTAGGTGTTTTATTTGATTTTTTTCTTTTTTTTGTTTTTGAAAAGAGATGTTTTAATTTTATATTTATTTTATTAAAAAAAATTAATGATGTCTATTGGAAGGAGAGAGAATATCAATTGTTAGATGTTTTAACTTATATATTTTTTAAATTTTTTTAAAGGTCTCGATCATTGAGATATTTAAATCCATATACTATTGATTTAGTGCGATATTTTTTTATAGAAAATTAATTTCAAAAATACATCTAAAATTATCTAAAAAAAGAGAGAATAATTTTTGAATTTAAGTTTTTTTTTCTTTATTCTTCCATTGTCTATTTTTTTTTTTTTTATTTTGAAAGTGTTTTTTGGGAGTTTTTTAAAATTATAATTCTTGATATAAATTTCTATGTTTAAACTACATGTCTAAAGAATTTAATTTGATGTTTTATTTAAATTATTTTCTTAGTTTTTTGATATATTTTTCAGGATTATTTAAAACCAACTTAAACAAGATTTTTATGGATTCCTATTTTTCATAAACTATATATATATATATATATATATATATTTTATATTTCTAAATATAAAATTTTTTTTTTTCTTAAGGTTTAAAAAAAATTTGGTTTTCAAAAAAAAAATTTCAAATGTCATTTTTTTTAAAATAGTTATTAATTATTTTGTTTTTAAATAATAAAATTAATTTTTCCAAAAGAAATTTATGAAATGTATTGTACAAGCTATGTATTGAGAAAACCAACTGTTTTCTATATTATTTTTTTTGCACATTAAGTCATTCAGTTAGTTATGTGCCATGCTTGATAGGTAAAGGCAATCACGAATAAATACAATGACTGATGAGGCAGATTTTTTTTTAATATAAATAGTAGGTCAAGCCATTTTTTCTAAAATTGCTTTAGAAAAGGGTTTAAAGGCTATCAGAACTTTCAGTCTGTCCTTAAATTTACCCATAGCTGGGAGGGATAAACTATTAAATGTTTATTATTATTTTGTAAATGTCATGGATTTGACTGAATTTGAACTCAGCTCTCAATTGAGCCATTATCCATTAAATGTTTGTTATATTTTGTTGCATTAAATTTTTGATATTTTTTTTGATTAGCCATTGTATGGCTATTTTAATAATTATGATAGACAGACTAATTATTTAAGTCACAGAACTTTATATGTATACATTTTTAAAAGTGTGAAATTTGATGGACTAATCTGGGAATTTTATAAAATGTATTTTTATATCATTTTTAATGCCAAGTAGGTTTGAGAAATAAAATGTACCTATATAACATGTAATAATAGGACATAAAATAATAGAAAAATATTAAAAATTTGCCTTTGTTATAAGCATTAAAAATGGAAATTATTTAAAAATTGAATTTTGCATTTTGTTCATTGAATTGATGTATTTATTTAAATCCACCTAAAATGAAACTTTATCAAAAATATCTCATTTTTATATTTAAGAAAATATTTGAATTATAATTAAAGATATCGTAAATGGGTAAATTTTTAGGACTGTTTTGTAAGTTTTAAAATCATATAAATTATCCTGAGAATTTGACGACATCAAAATGGTCGTTTTTTTCAACCTGACCTTTTTTTTTAATTCCTTATTTCTTTCAAAATGCTGATATTCCTATTGTTTGCAGTTTATCAAGAAACACATCATTCAAAACCAAATGTAAGTTTGTTTTAATTGCAGAAAAAAAGATCTTCTAAAAATTTCCAATGATCTGATATTTAAAATTTTTTGAAATCCAAAGTAGAATTTGAAAAGGAAGAAATAAATTATTTTCATATTAAACTGTCTTTTAGGAATTTTTTTGATAATGAAATTTCCAAAATGACAAATTCAAAAAATTTGTTCAAAAGGAAGAAAGGAAATTTTTTTCTTGGTTTTTTTTGTCATTATTGTCATGTTTTGCTGTCTGAATTTCTGGGAAAGAAT